ACCATATTTAAACCAGCTTTCCTTACGTAAACTACCACTTTTTTCTAGTATAACTTTGGTCAATGACCTCCCAGTGATCTCCAGGATTACCATCGACCACAAAAGTCGCCATTCTATAGAATTCCTCGAACAATAGAAGAGGGTGGTGGCGTTCATAGAACTGAGACGGAGACACGGCCTAGACTAAGTTTTCCAAGGGCCGGATTAGTATTATCAATTAGTGCCCGCGCCATTTGTACACGGCCGTAATATTTGGAATTTTCCCATCGACCTCCACAAATTATGCACTCTGGTCTTGGGTTATCACCTCTCTCTATCGCGTTCACTCATCCTCTCTCTCTCTCTCTCTCTCTCTCTCTCTCTCTCTCTCTTCTCTCTCTCTCTCTCTCTATCTCTCTCTCTCTCTTGGTCTCTCTCTCTCATTCCAAACTACTTAGAAACTTTATTAATTATTTCCACCACTCGGAGTGTCTGCAGTAGTATACTAGAGTAGAAATGTCTGGCTCAAACATCATTTCATACGCTTGATACCGGATTTTAAAGGGATTGTGAAGGCTTCACACTCTATTTTCTTCAGTGTTCCTTTAAATTAAAAATGTTCAAACATTCAGCCTGTTTTTTATCCCTACCAAGAATTGCCCGAAAAATTGGAAATAGTCCAGCTGATCCGGTATTTGGTGGCCTATAAGTTATTGTTTTGGCGGGCGCGCTTTTTGGGCAAAAAACGCGCCCAATTTCCAAAAATAATAATATATCCTTTTTACAGACGCTCAAGGAATTAAAGTAGGCTATCAAAATGTGAATATCCTTGAGAAATTTAGTCAAAAGGCTATGAATTTTTCCGCAAAAGCGCAAGATTTCGATAAAAAAGTATTTGAACAATTTTAAGCGCTTCCTGAATTATCCTTTAACCCTCAAAAGGCGCCCACGCTTTGCCTAGTAGTTTCCTGTAAGCAGACCCACAACCGACAAACATTTTCCGGGTTCCCCGCCGAGAGTCAAATTCGCAAAGAGGCCGCCAGCTCGAATTCCATCAGGGCCCGAAACGTCATCACGAGTTCCCCGGATTCCGCTATTTTGAAAAAGAACCTGACGGTCGCTCTCGATTTGCAACCACCTCCGGCCTTTTGTGGCTTGCCAGAAGTTTAAAGGCACTAGGAAGCGCTAGCGGCTGCCCCCCAAAGTGGCTGGGTCTCGACAGCTATACTACGTTTCTTTAAAAGCGTTATTTGAAGCAAGGATGTCCAATTCCTTGGTTTTGGTGATCCCGGGGTCAATTGTAAACTTAGAGGGGCTCCGAACGCTGGTCCACGGCTCCTTGCGTTGAATCCTGGCAAATAGCCAGATGCGACCGCAGCGCGACCGCGCCGCAAGTCCTTTTGCCCCGTTTCGACGTGAAAACGCTTGAATTTCAAAATTCTGACGCGATTTCTGTAATCCTCGTCGAATTGCGATCATTTTCGACGTTTTAATTATGAAAATTGACCATAGAATCACCGAGATTGAGAGATTAAGTGCCTTACAAGGCGTAGCGACGTGTAATCGCGGAGTAAATTGAGTGTGATTTTTTCAATTACAAAAATCAAGTTCTTTTTCAAATAGTTGAAAAACACCATTTTCCGATTTTTTTACCAAATCTTAACTATTCCCATCCATTTGCCTTCTATTTTTACGCCACGTTCCTCATCCCACCCTATGCCGTCATAAGAGGCGGATCTCTCCCCCGCCCCGTACCACGTCTCCCTAACGTCTTCTGAAATATTCAAAGCGATATATATGTAGAGAATCTGGGGAACTCCCCCTGCCCGAAACCCACAGAAACGCGCGGCTTGTTTCCTAATCCGTGGCCCTCTTTTCGGCCCCTTTTTGGCCCCTTTCCTTGCCAATAAATAAATTATATCAGGACCCCTCCCTATATCAATTGAGTTCCTGATCCGGGTGGGGGGTGAGCGTTTCCGCTTTGGAAAAAATTCACCCCGGCGAGGTGGTGAAAGTTTAGAGATTCTGACTATTTTTAGCGGCCCGGCTTTTCCGGAAAGCTACTAGCAACATTTGATAGTTCAGCTTGGGACCATTGCGCTTTTACTAGAATTATTGTAATTTTACAAATCTCAAACGGTCGTTATCGGCTATCATAATTTTAGCATTATGCAGGAGTGCTTGAATAAAATGGCGTAATCGATTGCAAAATTCCTTAATGGGTAAATTCAGCATTACGCATAACAATTTAGCAAGGCCTAATGATTCTGGTGAATTTTGCCTGCATGGCTTTTCCGGGAAGCTACTTGCAACATTTGAGAGCTGGACTTCTGAATTAGCATTTTTTTGTTAGAAATGTACTTTTTTAACAATATAAACGAAAAATCTATAGAAAATTCGGTACTGATCTGTTAGCGGGGGAACGTTACCCTAATTTTTTCGGTAAGGCTCCGTACTGCCCCATAACAAAATAAAAAAATTTTTATAGCATTTTACACCGATTTTAGATAGAAAAAGCTGAGCCAAAAATTCATAAAAGGTTTTTAAAAGGCAAAAAAAATTCGCCCGCCCCTCCCCCCGCCGCTAACAGCCCAGCACCCAAAATCGATAGTCCCTAAATTTGACCTCCTCAGTAATAACATGTCATAATCGATTGTAGGATCCTTTCATTTCCGTTTGAGATTTCCAACAAAAAGCCTAGAAAATAAATTTCTTTACATGGCGAAATTTCAAAATTCTTCTTACAAAGTTTGCCACCTTTTTCTTGACTTTCTAAAGCAACATCTAACCTGGTTTTCTTTAACTATTTCCATATTTTTTATGCACCGCAAAACCCTCTAAAGATTCTTTATTTTTCAGGTAAAACATGAGGATGCAGTGGTTGAGCAGACGTTTCCTCCAATGCTTGTTGGCTCTGGCACTGGCAGTTGCCGTACTATCATCCCCACTTCCCGCAGAAGATGGTGAGTACATTATGAAAATCACTGAATTTAATTAACACCGCATTAAAATATAAGCAAAATACGGAAATAATTATTGAATAAGCATAGAAAATAAATGTAACAACCTTATTTTTTTCAGATCGCGCATTAGCGTACGACGAGATGCCGATGCTAAGCGACTTCTATGATAAGTAGGTTCTTCGAATAGTCAAAAGTTTTAATAAACTCTTAAATAAGTCTTTTATTAAACTTTTAATCAAAAAGGCTATTTAGAAAATCAATACCTTAGCACTTTTAAGCGCTACAGTGCCACTAAATTCATATAAAAGTATTTTATTTATCGCTCCCCACTCGATAAAATACCTTCCTCATAAAAGTAATTAATATGTGAAAGTAACTTAATAGTAAAATGAAATACGCTTAGGAAATGACTCAAAAATCCGTAGCAATAACCCGGGGCGTAGCCAGAAAAAAATTTCGGGGGGGCCCCAAAAAATTTTTCCAAAAAAACTCAAAACATTAACGAGAAAACAGCGCCGCAGGCAAAAATGTTTGAAAAAAGGTTACATGGCTCTATAAATAGCCGTAAAAACGTGCAAAAATAGCGGCGCAGGCAGAAAAATTTTTGAGAAAATAAAAATCATAAGGGTCCCCCCTTATGAAATTTTCGGGCCCCGGCCGATTTCGGGGGGGCCCCGGGCCCCCGGGGCCTGTAAGGCGCTACGTCCCTGGCAATAACCATGATATTAAAATTTATTTGCAATTAGGTTTCCGACAATCATGTTTTCGAAAATCAAACAAATTGGAATTTAAAAAAAAATTGAAAAATTTGTGTCCAGCTAGCAATAGGATTGGACGCAAAGGTACACAACCGCAAAGTTTCGAAAAAATTATTTTCAAAATCTAGCGTTCTGAAAAATTACTTTTCGAAAGAGTAATTTTCTAAAACTATTTCTCGAAAACATGATGATTTATCTAAAACTCCGCGCCTTAAATTAACAGTCAAGAAAAAACAATTTAAAGTAAGTTAAGCTACTCGCCAAACACTTAACACCATTTCAGCGCCGTTTTCGACATGGAGAAGCGCGGTCTCCTCCGACTCGGCAAGCGCTCCCCACTGCGACTCGGGAAGCGCAGCGTGCTCCGACTTGGCTAATCCAACCCACCTATCCACCCGTGTGTCCAGAATTGTGTCGTGTAGACTTCGCCAGCCCCGATTTTGCCTATCTTTTCGCTTCTTCAGTTGTGTGCCCCCATCAGATCTTCGTGAAAACCCGACCCCGGCCGTCCTGCATAAATTCTTTGCCTTGTTTATTTATTACGAAAAATGATTTACGAGTTTTTAAAAGGCCCGGCAATGTTATGGATTTTACTGGAAATGAATTCCTCCGGGATTTTTTCCGCGACGCGCAGCGCACTCGCATGCCTTTCCATTGCGTAGTTGAGTTGAGTAGTTGATAGCGTCGCGGCGCCGCAACATCTTTAAGGGAATTCGGAATTTAATACGCAAAATTTGTTCATTTTTCAAAAAAAAAACCCCTTAAAAAGAGGTTAGAAACAATTCCGCTATTTGTCTGAAAAATTTTATGCTAAACCCCCCCCCCCCTCCTGATAATACGAAAGAACCGGATGTCAAAAAAACAATGTGGAAACGATTTGTCGAATCACACGATACGTGAACAACCCCGGAAAATCTAGGTTTGGCACGCAGAAATTTTGGCACGAAAATTACGACATTTTCAAACATGAAAACTCAATTCAATGTGTTTTTTTATCGGCGCTACACGTAAAGCACAAAAGTCACAGGGTAAAAAGGGAAATCAACCGGGAAATCAACATAAAACGTCGTAAATCACAAAGGCGGAGACACAGAATGGCGCACATTTAAAGGGCCAAAAAAGCAAGTGAAAGATATCGTGTTTGGGACAGCCGATTTTTGCAGTGTTACCAGAATTCACGCGGGGGGTTTTTGAAGGGCACCGGTAGAGAGTAGAAAATACCTTACAAAACATCACCGTACATTTTACACGTGAAAATACAGCATTTTACAGGAAATACATAAGAGAACTACTGTTTCTAGGCCATCTCCTCGTCCTCGTCGGCGCTGTCGGACGGGCTGGAGTGGACGTAGGAGCAGAAGCTGGAAAAAGAAAATTGATATCATAAAAATTACAAGGATATTTTTAAAATATCCTTTTCTAAGGTATTACAATTAAGTATCAGAAAATTTCACAGCCCCAAAAATCATTAAGAAAGAGTTTCAAACAGAAAAAAAAACACTAGCGGGGGGCGCGCAAAAATTTGGGCGCGATCGGAAACGACACGGCCAAATGCGGACGGCCAAACACCATGTAGTATTTAACAAAAACAACATACCGGTACCCGTAGATCTCCAACCCGTCGGCGCGCTTCGTGGGGATCAGGTTGAACTGGAGCTTGGCGAGGAAGGAGATCTTCTGGTAGTCGTCCGGCTCGCAGACCACGTGCACGCCGGCCGAGCCCGAGTACGACAGCACGGTGGCCAGCGTCTGCACGATGCGCTTCATCGCTACGGAGTCGTCGGTGCAGAATTTGGCGTGCAGGTGCTAAAAAAGAATAGACCTTCCAAAAAAAAAACAACAGAAACTTACAATTCGGGAAGGATATCGTTGCGTGATGTCCGACGAGACGCCATGCGGCTTCCACAGGTTGATCTTGGCCTTGCGGTCTTTCTAAAAAAAAGGTTAATATTAATATAGTCTAAAGGAATTGACTAATTAAAGCAAAAATCCGTACTTTCGGAAAATCATTGTGTGGGGCGAAAAATTAACTACCAACGCCTTAAATTACCAGAAAATGGATTTCGTGCGAACAAAGCGCCCAGTTAAAAAACCCACTATATTTGGGCCAAAACAACTTTTTGGCATTGATTTACATTTGGTAAAAAATTTCAGTTTTGGGGCCCAAACTAATCGAATTCGGTGTTTCGGTTAATTTTCCCAACTCAAAAAGCTTGCATGACTAAAATAGCTTCAGAAAGTCCGAAACGGCCCGTGAACTTACAAATTAGCGCCTAATTCACTACCAAAAAGGGCCAAAAGAATGTCGCGTTGCCGCCGCATCTGGCCAATTGTGGAGAATGAACGGCGCCAGGCTTCTCAGCGCCTTTAAAAGACCACACAATTATCACCTCATCCGGGATCGTCTCCTTGTACTTCTCCATCATCATCGCCTGGTAGTCGGGCCAAATGTTGCGCAAGTAGGTGTCAACTGAAAAAAAACGGATTCTGAAACTCCATCGTTAAGCAAACTTGAATTAGCGAAAAAAACCCCTCACCATTTTTGATGCCAGTCCCAGCACAGTGCGGGTACCGCAGCCCCTGCGCGTCCTCTTCCACCCACTCCTCGTAGGAGATGAACCCAAAGTGCGGCTCCGTCGGCGAGAAAGTGTACGGGCCAAAGTGGCTAAAAAGCATTGAATAAGAAAACAAGAATAAAAAAATTACTGATCAAAGAGCTCCTCGTTCGATTCAGCAGGCGGTTCGCCGTTGCCGAAAAGATGATGGAAGTTGATCTAAACAAATCAATTTTTTTTGCAAGCACGAAATTATTAAATTCTTCGATTATAAACTTTACAAGTACTAAATAAATATCTGGTCAGTAAACTTAAGTTTAAAAAAACATAGATTTTGCTTATAAAGCCAAAGCCCATCGAAGTTACAATCAATATTCAGTATCCTAGCAAAATAAAAAATTTGCAAACGACGAAAACTTTAATTAATTAAACTAAACTTTAAAAATTTTTGAATTGCTGAGTTAGTTCAGTTTTAGTTATAAATCCATAAAAGTTAATTTTAGGATTATACTACCTTTTATCGAAAAATCACGTTTTATTAAATTCAATCAAATTACCGTATCCTCCACAGTGACGGTCCGAACGTGGAAAGTGCGGATCGACATCGGAAGCGGATTCTAAAAATTAAGATTTAAATAAAATTTGGCGCCTACGTACCCGATTCCTGAGCAAGTCCAGCAGACCATCCGAGTTAGCCAGCAGCCCGGTCACGTCGACGGAAAAGCCGCGAGCCTAAATCACCGGTTTACGACACGAAATCCGGAAAAGTTTACCGGACAAACCCCGCACCATGCCTCGTCCTCAAACGTCGTGTTGGTCCACGTATTGACGCGGGCTATAAGTTAAGGCATTAAAAGTATTAAAAAGGGCATAAGATTCAAAATAGCCACAGATTTTTGATGATTTTCGTCCTACTAAACAAATACAAAGCCAAAAAATTTTTTGAGTGGTGGAAATATAAAATTCAAAGCCCGAAAGCTTTAGAAATCACGGAAATGCTGAAATGTTTTGAAAAATCACTAAAAGCAACCAAGGGGTTTTCTAAGCTTCATCAGACTTGAACAAAAAAAATTTAACAAAACGGGGGGAATGGAATAGAATAAAATATTTAATCCCGGCAACCGCTTTATAAAGTGGTTAATTCTAATTCTCGCCTCATATAATTTACTTTCATCCAAATTTTTTCTGATCATCGTCATAATCTACCAAAATCATCAAAAAATCAAGAACACGGAAATATTCATATCAGCGGCTCCCGGGCCAAGCAAACAACGGCGTACCCTTCAGCGGACGTCTCATATTTCCGGCGGCAATCCAGTGGGAAAGCCCCTCAATCAGCGACAGCGTCCCGTGAGCGTCCCAGACGTACGGTAGCAGCTCGGAGAGCAGGGGCTGGAAAGAAAATCTTTCACTTAATTTTTAATATTTCAATTTAATCTAATTTTAATATTTTACATCAAAAAATTCGAACGGCTTGACGTTCAACTCGGCTGTAAATCCCTCACCTTATTCGGGCAATTCATAATCTTCCAGTACAACCCGTTGAACTCGTTGACAAACTGGTACATGTCGGCGATCGCCTGGCGTAAACCACTAAAGTAAAGCTGATTATGAAACACTAGCAAAAAATACTCGATCGTCGTCGGCGAGCAGCCGCGGTCCCCCTTGTGCGCGTTGTTCAGCAAGTAGACAAGCGTGGTCAGCAACTGGAATAGTTCAATATCAAGAAAATTAAAATAATGGGGCAGCCTATATCAAGAATCTTTGGCATTATCGGTGGGACAAGTTTTTTCTAGGCTACAATGTTTCAAATAAAATAGCGAAAGTATTTTGAACTCTCTTTTTACTATTTATGAACGTACAAACTTCGCAAATTTCGACTAACAAATACAAAAAAATATCGGCCTTTGACCAAAAATACAAACTTTTAAAACTATTTTCTAATTTTAGGTTTTTTCTAGTCTTGAATACAGCTAAATTTTACTCAAAAACTTAATAAAATACCTCCTGTTAAGTCATAGATATTTCTAAGCCCATAAAAACTTTGCAGTCCCTCCCCCCCGATAAAGCGAAAGAACCAGAAACAAAAGTCAAAAATTCTTAAAAGTTCAAAAATCAAAATCGCACCTTCTCAACCTGGGGCCCGTATTGGAAGGGCAGGTAGAAGATGTCGAGTAGCTTGCGCAGGTCCGCGGCCGTGATTTGCAAGTGAGCACTGTAAGAAGGTATAAAACGTAACTTCGGAGCCCTTACGCCCTTGTTGTTGTCATTTCGGCGGCTTCTGTCTTCGCAGCCTCTGGGTCCTCGGTGACTCCTTCTTCGTGGCTAGAAAAAAAAAAACAATTTTTGGACACCGTACCATCAATTCGTACCTATTCTTATGCGAATTCGCCCCAATCGGCGTGCCCATCACCGTGCAGGTGTTGTACTCGGGCACCAACGAGTTCACGAGGTCCGGCTCGGTCGCGTCTTGCTGAAAATTGGCATGAACCCTAGCCGTAACACGCCTACCAAATTCGGGTCGCCCATGACAGCGTGCACCATCTCGTCGACGGCCATCACCGGCAGGGCCACCTCGGCCGAGACGTCGGGCGGCACCGTCAAGTCGCTGTCCATCGCCACCGAGCCGGAGCGGCTGACGGCGGCCGATTCTAAAAGATAAATTACTGATTTGAAAGAATTTCACCACTTGGCAACGGGATATCCGGATTCTCCAGGCCTTCCTGGTAGTTTTGCGGCTTGACGGTGGGGACCTCACTAAAAATGAATTATTTAGTGGATACCGAAAATTCATCATCAAAAAAAAGGCTAAAAATCCTTGAAAAACCCAGAAGCTTACGCAGTCTCCGTGTTGAAAAGCTTTTCCCAGTCGGCGAGCGCCTTGTTTAGAGCTTCTTCCGGGCAGTAGACCTTCAAAGACGCGTTGTCCTCCGTGTTCATCCCATCTAAAAATGTAAAACTATAACATTAAAAATCCTGCCTGTACGCCATTTTAACAGATTCGTGCTATTTGTCCAATTTTTTAGCGCTAGTGGATAGCGCACCAAAAAAATATACGAAGAGTTACAAATACAGCGCAAAATAATGTATTTTTGGTTAGAGGAAGCTATCGGTAATATAAATAAATTGAGGCAAATCCCGTACCCGCATCCGCGACGGCGTGTCGCCACTGTGAGGTCGTGGCGATGGCCATCAGGTTCGTCTCATGCTTGTTGTTGGGGTTGAGCAGCAGCCCGGAGATCGACTCCTTCACCGCAACGGAGCGGCCTAAACTAAAATTAAAACATCGAAAACCTTAACTAACCCTCCAGGGGCCCAAGGTACGTCCGGCGAATATCATAGTCGTTGGCGTAGTAGTTGTCCCAAATCAACGGCTTCCGGCGCAGCACTTTTTCCACCTTGGCACAGTGAGCGGGCGTCAACCAGCGAGAGATCACCTTTGGGCCTGGAAAATGATTTTTTAGCAAAGGTCTGCTTCAGATGTAACGGGGATTTATTCAACAACTAGTATTAACTTATTTTTGTAATCGCGGTAACGAGAAAATTATAAGAACCATGAAAAAAAACGACAAAAAATAGCATTTTCGCGAGTTTTTGTCTTTTTGTAAAGACTCTCAACCAAAACTGAATTTTTTCGAATATTACTTAATTTTAATACGGAAATTACTAAAAAAAATGTTTTGTATGCAACTCTTTCGTTCCTGCCGATCCCTGTGAAAAACTTAGCGCTCTCTACCGATCAAAAAAGGTTCCGGAAAAAAACTCCCTCACCCGTCCACATCACGTAAATCTCCGAGTGCAAGAAGCGGCCGACCGTGTCGAGGTACTCCGAGTCGGCGATCCTCGGGTGGGCGCGTGTCTCGCAGTATTCTAAAAATTAAGGCATCCCGCCGCAATAGAAAAATCTCACCGGTGGGGCAGAACATGAACACCGGTCGCCCAAGCATCTCGTAAATCTTATTGGTGACTTGCACCTAAATCAGAGATTTTAAAAAATGCCGAAAGTCGCAAACCTGCGCCTGGGCGAAGGAGTCGTAGCGATCTTGGTCGGCGCGGTGCATCTCCTTGGGGATGTCGTCAAACAGCAGAGCGAAGCTGGTGCATCCCAGAGATTGGACCTGGAAAAGGATATTGAAGCTGGAAAGATAGAAAAGAGAGAGAGAGAGAGAGAGAGAGAGAGAGATAGAGATAGAGAGAGATCGAGAGGTTCAAAATCCCCGACCTGCTCCAACTTGCGCCTCGTTGCATTAATGTCACCCTCGTCCGAATAGCGGATGTCGTTGCCGGGCGAAAGAGCGTAGACGAACATTTGATTGTGAAGGCGCGCCTCGGCGATGAGGTGACGAAGACTTTCTGAATAAAAATGGACATTAAAATATTACAGAGAGCGAGACGGGCTTTTCTACCAAAACAAACACGTATCAAAACGTACCGGCCTCCTCGTCGGTGTAAAGTTCCCGCCAGGAGAGCCGATGTTTCAGGTCGTCCTTCGGCGCGTACACGTAGCAGTTCAGCTGGTAGTGCTCCAGCTTCTTGTAGAGGTCCACACGCTGGTCCTGCGTCCAGGGGCGGCCGTAGAAGCCTAAAAAAAGACGATGAAACGTTTTCGACCAATCCGTTTTTTTTGGAAATCCTACCCATATTTTATAGATTTTCATCAAATTCCAAACTCCCTCCTGATACTTAGGGAACAAACTATGCTGCTTAAACTTTTTTGCTGAATCGAACACAAGAAAAATCGGGATTTTCGATGTGAGAATCTAATTTATACAATTCCGCTTACACCTAGCAGCTTGCAGGGTGTTTAGAGTTACAAGCCCACAAAAAACCAGCGATAAAATTTTACGTGTGCTTTGGAGAAAATCCTTTTGGCTATAGGGTTCCAAAATCTAAACATTGTTCATAAATTTTCAGATAACAAAAAACGGCGTAAAATGCAGTAAAAATCAACCGGTGGGGATCAAAACTTTTTTACTAGGGAAATTTTCACTATGCTGAAGCCGCTTATGCCTATTTTCAAAAATAACTATAGGAATAATTCTGTCCAGCAAAAGTTACTCAAAATACCAATCGAAGAAATTCGCCACAATGAAAATACAAGATGCGCCCAAAACCGACCTTCGATGACCCCGCAGATGAAAGTCGAGTCATTGGCCATTGCCCAGTACCGAGGTGATGACGTCGGCGCCTTCAATTTTTGTGTACGGCGAGTCATTCGGCCCATAATCGCGTTCGGGGTTCGAAATATCGCACTGATAGTCTGGAATCGTTGATCGTAACTTTTAACGCGAAACTAGAATAATTTATTGCTGCTACAGATACACAAAGAGGAGGTGGGAAACACAGAGCGATGGCCAGGGCTGGGAAATGGGGAAATAATTTTGGGGGTATTTGGCATTACATAGAAGGGGAGGAAAATCTGAATAAATTATAACTACAGGTGGAAGCTCAATAAATTATGTGGAAGAAGCAACACTGGCTATGGGGAGCGCGGCGCGGCGGACAACCTAAAAATAAATACACAACTCTCGGCGGGGCATAAATTAATTTAAGAAACACAAATTTGCTCTACAGTGGGGTACTTATGCATTATCGGGGAGAGGGCAGCTTTCCTTATAAGTCCAGAATATTTAGTAAATTTAAATATCTGTGAAGCGAAAAGTTTTACAAAATTGGAAATGTTTTTGTACGTAAACTTTTGGTCGAAGAATCAATTTTTGTAATTTCAAATATTTCTCGTTTTCTAATCTTTAGAATCCTAAAAGAACCATAAAAACGCTAGGAAAAAAAACTTCGTCCACCGATAATGCAAAAGAACCGACATTGGAAACTCTGCTCGCGGTTTGGCATAGCACAACGCGAAAGTGAACGACCAGACGAGTGCACACAGAACAAAACAGGGCAAATTATGCAAATGGGAAAGTGGAGCTCATGGATGAGGAGGGGTGTGTCGAAAATGTGTTTGTTCGAGATGAGGGGGGAATGGGTGTTAAAATGCGCGCCAATTTGTGAAAATTACACCAAATTAAATGACATTAAATTTGTGCAAGGTGGGAAATCTCGAGGGGGAAAAGGACGGCTAGCACTACATGGGAGTTGTCTGCGTGTGAGATTACGACGAGATTTTGGAGCAAGGCCAGTAGAAAAATATATAGAATTCTTGGGGGTTAAAGGGACCGCGAGGAAGGAAATAAAATATTTTTCTGAAGCTAGAAAAAAGCAATTCCCACTTTACGGACCCCTTGAAAAATTTGTTTCCTAAAACTCAATGGGCGAGAGGCACAGCGAAGGGAAAATTCTCTACAAAAATCCGAAAAACGGGGAACTCGCGCAGATTTGGGATGCTGGTTGACAGATTACGTAATTCAATGGGGGGGGGTGTGGTGAACAACAAGCGCAAAAAGGGCAACTGCGGTGCGAGCAAAGGGCACTGGAATGAACTGGGGAACGGCGGGCCGCATTTGTAAAGAACTTAGGGCAACAACAATGGGATTTCTGGCGAACGCCGAGAAGCCGTGATTTTTCTCTAAAATCCAGGTAAGAATCTGTCACGTCAAAGATCAGCTTCCGATTTCGCGCCGAATTAATCCCAATTGTTAGCCGCCCGCAAAAATCCTAGAGTTCCAAGTGAAATGGGCAGGGGAAGGGGATGGCGGGAGGACAACGGTGTCTAGAACAGCTCGGCCAGCACGTCACACAGGTAGCGCGACACGGTGTCCTTGCTTGAGCGGACGGTCAGCCGATATTTCTGAACAGGTTTTTAGGCATGTTTCACGGGGCAATTACGTGAAATCGTATCGAGGTTTTTGAAAAACGAGAAACGCTATCCGATGCCCTTTTTGATGCAGAAGAAGACAAAGTATGAAAATACGGTTCTGTTGCATTATCGATGGGGGTTAACTTTTTTTTTCCTGCAAGCGCAGAATGTTTAGCAACGAAATACTAAGCATATTCATAGCTTTTTGTAAAATTCTCGAAAATCGGCCATTAAATCAAAATTTTGTAATTTTGAATCGAAATTGCGACATTTTCACATTTAGGAATCATCAAAACTGTTGCAAACCACTTTCTCTATTTATATTACCAAAAAAATCGGCTGCTGAGGCAAAAGTTTGTTCCCCCGATAATGCAAAAGAACCGAAAATCCACACAAAAACGACCTACTAAACCTCAAGATAAAACTCAAACTGTTTCCCTTTTTCCGAAGCTTAAAACGGATTCATTCATATGCGCAGAAAAATTATGTCGGATAGCGCCCCGTTTTCTGAAGGCTAATAATAGTTCACTTCCTCAGCAAGGAAAATTCACAAACCATTCCTCTTCTCAAAAACCCGATTTCCGTCAACACCACGCGAAAACTGACCTTGGCCTGCTTGTTGGGCTCCAGCCGGATCAGCGTGCCAATCTGCTGGGTCTGCGTGTGGATGATGCCGGCACAGACGAAATTATCCGGGTTCGGGTCGACGTCGACGAGCAGTTTGGCGCCGACGCCGGTTAGCTAAAAGAAATCGTAGACTTTCTGAGCTAGCAAAATCAAATAGATGCTAAAGAATCAGCGTAAAAAGCCACCTTTGCATTGACGGCCGCCGTGTCGATCGGGTGCTTGGCCGTGAAGATCTTTTGGCTCTCTTGCGACGGGATCCCGAGGGCTTTCCATCTCAAAAAAATATATTAAAAAAAATATCAACCAAACACAGCGTCAACACGTCATAAAATCCAAAACCAACCTGGCAAAGAACGTCTCGCTGGTCATGTCCGTCGGCTCGAAGAACTTGTTGATGAAAATCGGCAGGTAGAAGAATTTGTCGAAGCGCGCAGCCCCGCCGGCGGTTTGACTGAAAGAAACGAGGATAGAGAGCTAAGAAAAACCTCACGTGTAATTGAAGGAAATCTGCAGAATCGGCATCCGGTTGAACTCTTGCACGCAGACGAAGTTGATCAACTGCTGCACCTGAGCCATCGCGCCCACCGAGGCGTCGATGGGCTTGGCCTGAAACAATATAAAAATTAATTAAAACAGCCAAAAAAATTTACCTGAGCCTGCAGCTGCACGGAAAGCGCCCCGGGGCAAACGACGACCGGCTTGAAGTCGGTGAACTGGCTGGGCGTCTTGTTGCCGTAGAACATGCCCAGTCGGGCTAAATTGTTCCTCGCCTCCAGCTTGATGCCGATCTGGATGCTTTCGTCCTCGTATAGCACGCCGTTCATCTTGGTGACGAACCTAAAAAATGTGTTTTTTCTATAAGCCAACAAGTTGTTTTCTCAACACCACAAAAATTATAGTATTTTTGATAAAATATAGCTATATTCCAACCAAAAAAACTGTTTCAAAAAGCTAGAAAGAAATCTATCTAACAATATGCAATTGTGGTGAAAAAAATCTGATTAATTTGCTAACAAAACCGTAGTTTTTGCAATCCTAAAACTTTTGAGGGTTAGAAATGCAAAAAATTGCCTTTTCTGTCTATATTAGAAACACTGTGTTCTACTGGAAAAGGTTATGCTTCCGCATATTTTACAAAAGAACCAGAAGCAAATCAAAAGCGCACTTTGTATAGTCGTCCTTGTTGACGACGACCGGCTCTCCAGATGGCACCGGGCTAGTGGAAGAGTGATTACCCGACGATGCTGTTGTCGCCGGGGCGCCGAAAATATCTACGAGCGCGGCCGCGTCCGACTGGGAGGAATGGTCTAGATCGACAAGCGAGCCAATGCCGCCGTTCCCTTCGTGCGCCATCACAGCCTGGGGCCGGCTCTTCTTCTCCTGGGCGACCGTCTCCAGCTCCTCCACTTGCGGCTTGTGCTTCTTGAGCTTGGCGAGGAGGGAGCTCTCCTTTTCGGCAAATGGAGGCATCTCTTCGAGGATGGTGGCCAGCACATCCGGAGTCGCCACACGGCTCATCTGCAGGTATTCAACGGCACGCTGTTGCAGCTCGGCGTCAGGGTTCCGGAGGTTGTGATCGGTGCGGAAGACCTAAAAATGCAATAGAGGCGAGAACCAAAAATCTACTCACCTCTAGTGTTGGACAGCACCCCAAAGAGAGCACCCCGGGTGCTTTTTCCACCCGGGTGCTTTTTTTTCACCCTGGGTGTCTAAAAAAGCACCCAGGGTGTTAAACCACCCCGGGGTGCCCCAAAAGCACCCTGGGTGGGAAAGGAAGCACCCCGGCGGGGAGAGGGGTGCTCTGGAAAGCACCCCGCCCCCCAGTGGGGTTGCTCTGAAAGCACCCCGCCCCCCAGAGGGGTGCTCTGGAAAGCACCCCGGGGTGCTTTCGGAAGCACCCCAGGGGTGCTTTTTGGGGTGCTTTCTGGGGTGCTGTCTGGGGTGCTTTTTGAGATAACTGTCTTCTGAACTAGACTATATGGGACGGTCAAAATGCGAACCTTTTAGGGTTTGAAAAGGTGGTTAATTACTGGATTATACGTTTGATATTACCTGATATGTAATCATTGAGTATACATATAAAACAATTTTCGTAATAACTTCAAAATAGGAACCGAATTGCAAAGCAACGTCATTCGAGTGGTTTTTTTCCGCTGATTGCCTATTTTTCATTTTTAGGCATTATGTAACATATTGCAGCTTCTTTATTGCGATTATTTAATATCTGGCACGGTGAATAAGAAATGGTTAGAATACTGAATTAATTTTCTTCAATCAAAGACTCGGTGATCAATAGATAGCTAGGCTCTTCCCCATTCAATTCCTCTTCATTCTCAGATAATAAAGGTGGGATCGCTGCTCCGGCGGTCATAATAGCTTGATAGAATTCGGCCGCTTGTTCGAAGGTATAGCGATTGGGTAGAAGGCTAAAAAGGCGGATTAGGTGGCTGATTGTCTGGTTACCGAAAGTTTGCTCCTGGTAAAGGCCTGAGTCGGGCTTCTGTTGTGCGCGTTGGAGACTTAGCTGAAATTGAGGTGTATTGATATTGATCAAGGAACAGGTATAGGTCAATCAGACTTATCAGGGCGTCCTTAAAGCGACTTTTTTAATAAGGAGGATTTCGGTGGTCCGAAGACCCGAACCTTTAATTTGAAGATATACCAAATTATCAAACGTTTCGTAGCGTTATCCTCCCTGATGCGCCCTCATTGACCCTTGCCAATTTGGAAAAGAACAGAAGAGATAAACGGGCGTTAGGGCAGTTTAAATTAAATTCGGGGCGTCAGAAAAAAAGAGAGTTAATTAAAGCAATTGCATACTTGCCGATAGTAATCAGTAAATGCCGCTCCGGGTTGCCGCAATCTATTTATAGCCTTAGGCGTTCCTGGCCCCACCCCTCCTCCAAGCACCATTTTCCACGACAGCGGCGTATCACTCAGGGTGCCAAAGGCATCACTTTGAACCCGGCCCCTCTGCTCGTCGTCCTTATGGCAAATAAAATAATTAGGTCAGCAGATACCTCCACTTCTCGATGTCCACGACAAAGTTGTGCATTTCGTTTCTGGAACAACATTATAAAAAGTTATGCCGAATAAGCATAAAGCAACTGCAAAATATCAAAAAAAAAATGAAAAATAGGCAATCAGCGGAAAAAAACCACTCGAATGACGTTGCTTTGCAATTCGGTTCCTATTTTGAAGTTATTACGAAAATTGTTTTATATGTATACTCAATGATTACATATCAGGTAATATCAAACGTATAATCCAGTAATTAACCACCTTTTCAAACCCTAAAAGGTTCGCATTTTGACCGTCCCATATAGTCTAGTTCAGAAGACAGTTATCTCAAAAAGCACCCCCAGACAGCACCCCAGAAAGCACCCAAAAGCACCCCTGGGTAAGCTTCCTGAAAGCACCCTGGGTGCTTTCCAGAGCACCCCTCTGGGGGCGGGTAAGCTCCAGAGCACCCCACTGGGGGGCGGGGTGCTTTCCAGAGCACCCCTCTCCCCGCCGGGGTGCTTCCTTTCCCACCCCGGGGTGCTTTTGGGGCACCCCGGTGGAAGTGAGCACCCCGGGGTGCTTTTAGAGCACCCCGGGGTGAAAAAAGCACCCCGGGTGGGAAAAAAGCACCCCGGGGTGCTCTCTTTGGGGTGCTGTCCAACACTACTCACCTCCTGTATGACGTGCTTGATCTCCGGGAACAAGTTGCAGAATTTGACGTAGGTGGTGAGGAGCAGACAGCGTGTGTTGATGCTGCACAGATGGTACTTTGAGTGAAGCAGGTCGAACTGGACTTGAGGGCTAAAAAAACAGGTGTAAAAGAGCCTCCTGAAATCCGAAGGATCCAAAGGATAAAAAACGAACGCGGATCGTTGATCGCCGGCGATGAGGTTGCCGAATTCGCCGAGAATATATCCGCCGACTTTGACCATATTTTCATGGCAAGCCGGTCGCTGCAGCGCCTCGAAGACCGTTTTTGCCGCGTAGCCTTGCACGTCTTCGCGGTTAACGACAATCTAAAAAAAGGGTTTTCTCTTTTTGAGGGCCCAGACTGTTTCAAGAAGTCACCAGAAAATCAATACCGACCTGAATGACACGGTACCAGACTTCTTCGCTGACGTAGTCGCCGGCGATGCGGATCAGCTTCAGGATGACGTCCACGTACCACGTGTAGTCGGTGGCGTACTTTTCGGCGAGTATGGCGACTTTCAGCACCTAGAACAAAAGAATAAAAATCAGCAAAAAGCTCTCACCATCTCCTCGCGAATCGAATAGTCGGCCGTCTCCAAGTAGGCGAGCATCTCCTGGACGATGTCCCCGGCATTTGTTCGATCGCACATCGCGTACAGCAGATCGACGGCCCGCTGGCGTACGGAGACGTCCCTAGAAACCGTTCATCAGTGATAGAATACGTTGTCAAATTACCGCTCGGTTTTCAACGACGTGATGATCGTCTCCTGGTGTTTCTTTACCGCTTCATGAGAAAACTCGGACGTCGCAAGTAGACACATCGATTCGAGGGCGAGGTATCTAAAGCAAGGTTTTCGTATCGACATGAATCAACCTCAAGTTGGTTTCGCGGTGGGTCAGGAAGGCGCCGAGCTGGTTGCAGGCGCGGACCAACAGGTTAGGCTCGCTGTCCATGTGGATGATCAGAGCGATAGCCTAAGAAAACCCCTTTTTGAATGTTCACTAAAAACCCCACCTCAAAAAGCACCGCATTTTTCGCGTTCGAGTGCTGGACCTTCTTGGACTTTGGCGCATCCTGGGCCTTGTTGAGGATACCCTCGAGACACTCGAGCAGTCTCGCCTTGTTCGAGGGGTCTTCTGAAAAGAAGCAATTCGTTGAGAATAAATGCTCCGAATTGCAAGAAAAAAGCAAGCCAAGATTTTATACGTACCAGGTGGCGGATAGTTCTGCAGCAACCTCAGTAGCTTCACGCAAAGCCATGGTGCCGGCACAAAGTAATATGTGTAGTCCTGAAAATCATGAAAAAGCTGATGGGAGGGAAAATGGTTGGTTCTCAACACAATTTTAGCAAAAAAGCACCTGCAAATCGGTGTAGGTGGACGTGACGATGCGACTGAGCCTCGAGATGGCGAGTGATACGCAGCCGCGGTAGTCCTCTGGCCATCGCTTCGAAAGAGCCTCGATCAACGACGCGGCTGAGGTGACGACGCCCTAAATTAATTACTTAGTATAACTCGCTGAGCTCAGCATCAAAAAGTCGATATCCCGCGTACCATGTGCGAATCGTTGAGCAGGTGTACAATGCGAGAAGCATGATCCGGCGACGGCATCACGTCGGGCGAGGTTCGGAAAAGCTTGAGCAGACAGAGCGCGGCGGATTGCTTGACGAAGTCGATCGTGTCGCCGGAGACGAGCAGCTTTGGTAGGTCCTGAACGGAAAATCAAGTTGTTTGTGAAAAAACTTGCGAAAGAGCCGGTAAAAATCTCACCTGAGCAAAAGCTTCGGCCATGTCCCGGGAGCCAATGTTAGAGATGCACTGCAGGGCCAGGTTCACGTGCACCGGATTGCGGGAGGTCTAGATGGAGTTTTAAGAAATTGGAAAAGCCGCGAACCAAATCATTCCGGATAGCTTGAACGATGAGCTTCATCAAATCCGAGTTCTGCTCAATGAGCACCGAGATGAAGAGGTAGCCCTGAAAATTTTAGTAAATTTAGAGGTTGTTAATTATCGGGGGAAGGCGGCAACTTTTTTCTCAGGATCCAGTTTTTCAAATATAGATAGCAGAAAAGACGCGTTTCTCATGTTTTTTACTATTCCAAAACGTAAAAACGAGTTTAACCAATTTTCGGATCAAAAACGGCCGTTTTTTTACCAAAATTTTGACTTGTTGAAAAAATTTTTCAGTTAACATCTGGTTTGATTCTACTAAAAATGTTGTAAACATACTTCCGATGCAGTTAATAAGCATTTCTAGACTTACAAAAAAGATGCGAAACCTCCATCTTAGTTCATATATTATATCATGGCCAAAGTCCCAAAAACCGACAATCTGCTTCTCTGTGTACTTGTTCGACGACAGCAAATTGACCGCCTCCATGTGACCAAAGTCGATGTCGTTGCCGAGCAGAAAGATGAAGAGAAGCTTGCAGACGTACTTTTTCTTCTGATACCCATCGAGCGTCTTGTCACCTGAATTCAAATAAACATGATCAAACTCGAAGCCCGTACCTTTAAATTTGCTGCGGATATTGGCGAGTTCCTTGTTGATCCGCTTCAGCTCGGCTTCTTTGCTCTTGCAGTTGCGGATGTCGGAGATGAACACGGCCAACCCCCGCATGCCATCGCCCTTGACTGCGGGCATTCTGGAATGGAAATCGATTGTAATGAAACCTCCACCACAATGTCAGTAAAGCAAAGAAAGCGTGAAGGAACACAAAAGCGGGGTAAACTCCTTGAAGGAATCTTTCGGTCCACACTCGAGACTTGAACTAATTTTGCGAGAATATTCCGCGAATTAGAAGTTAAACATAGCTTTGTCTAAAAAGATTTGGTTTCAGCGGGCGTAGAATTTGAGCGAACGTTTCATATATCTTTCTTTAGGTTAGCCGCAGTTCTGATGCCTGCCAATATCTCGTAACAAAGTATGACCAAGGTTTTCAGAAAACTTGATTTTAATACCGAAAATGGGACGCTTGCAGTAAAATCAGAGTTGTACCGTCATCTAGATGACATTACGCAGCTAGCGAAATATCGAACAGAACTACCCATTCATCCCTTGTCGAGGTGCTGAGGTAAGCTGCACGCATCGTGGCACCCAGGAGGCTTGATTCAAATAGCAGGACACACCCAGCGTGGGTTATTGATGCCACTTTAATTCAGAATCGTGCAAACGTTAAAATAAGAGTGAGGTAAACACCCGAAGAGTTGCGAAAACCTGGAATAAGCTCCCGCCTAGGGTCTTCAAAGAAGGTCAATTGGGAAATGCAAAGAGCTTTCGTGTAACTTTAGAAAAAATGGACCTGTCCCAATTTCTGTGATCTTTTTTTTCTCTCCCCCGTTTGTTTTCGCATGTTATACAACCTCTGAACCATTGGCACCTACATCGCCCACTCCCCACTCTTATTCAACTACTGAATAAAGTATATATATATATATAAGCTTTCTATCAAGGGTAACTCCACGTTTCGGTCACGCAAGCGAGACAATCAAAACCCGTTCCGGCCACTAGCTACTTGCGAGAAGCGGCAAAAGCCCTTCACACCACGTATATCACGCTTATACTACAATTTATGAAATCCATAAATTAAAAATGATGATGATTTTATCAACCAAATCCCGTCAATCTTTCGGTGACCCAATACGGGCCGTGTTTTCGGCTATTGGACTGGAGACACCGGGTTCGGTGCTGTGCCGCAGGGGTTTCGTGGCGGGACCCCGGCGATGTGAGAGAAGTACGGGCGGGTTTTTAGCCCTCGGACGTACTCGGTTCTTTTTGCGCGTTCCGTTGCGCGACCAAATGCGCGGGACCGGAGACTGGCAGGGACCCGGTCCCGCGCATTTCGGGGAGCGCCGGCCAAATGCGCGGGACCTGCGAATGCGCGGGACTTTGCGCGGCTCTCGCCGTCAACTGGCCCAGGGGAGCTTTTCCTCCTTTTAAAGCTCTTATATTACTTATTAAACCTGCGTTATGAGCAGGTATTACTGTGAGTAGATGGAGTATGAGTAGCTATACATTTATACCGGGGTAATGATACAAAAACAGTCGTAAAAGATTGTTTTCCGCAAGAAGAGTTGAGGTGCTGTCGATGAACCTAAGCTTGTCCTTAGCATTTGAAAACTAGCTTTTTATAACTGTTTACCCACCTCGTTCGAAGCGAGTGCCAAGGAATTGAGTGAAATACTATTTATTTTGTTAGCTAATTTGTTAGATTGATTCAGACTTACCGTATTGGTTCGACTTACGTTCGCATCACTAACGTTTCTGACTTACCGTGGTCCTCCTATATTCGTTGGGGAGATAGTTATTTCTACCAACTTCTTTGCCTAAATTCTCCTGACAACAATAAGGAATTAGACTCAAGTCTTACAGTCTTACTTACTCCTGATCATCCGCGTTTCTTCTTGGAATTATGCCACATGCCACAAATTACCGATACCGGGGCCTTTGACAGTGCATTCATTAACCTGAGAGCGCAGTTTTGTTGAAAAATAAATAAAAAACTTGCCGAAGCTAGACCATGGATCGTTTGTCATCAAAGTCTCAGCATTTGCAAAGCCTAAATTCCATGAAAATGATAAACCTCGCCTGATACCTCCGGTCTTCAGTGCAAAAAAACAGCATTGGTTCCAGCAAAGACACAAATATCTATAAATAAAACTAAATTGAACGAAAATACGCTAAAAGCCTCGAGTTTTCATTTAGTACGTTTAGAAACCATGCACGAAATGCGCGGGACCGCGCATTCTCCTTCCGCGACTAATTGCGCGACAGAAAGCGCGGTCCCGCGCATTCAGCCGCGTCCCTCTCGCGCATTTTCCGAGAGCCGCGCATGGGGCCGCGCAAGCCCAACTCCCGCGCAACGGACCGCGCGAAAACAACCGAGTAACGAGTCACCAACGACTCACACCACTTTACACCGCGTAACTGATTTCCTAAACCCAGTTATTTTTGACAAATAATCTTGTAAAAGTTATTCTAACGCTAGAAACAAAAGAAAGATAGTTGTCAAACAGATATGGACGTGAAAGGGGCATAATCTTGCGTGTTTCGAGCAGATTGACGATTTTGCTGGTTCATTGCACACCAGTACGTATAAGAAAACCTGTTCTAACTCGAAGAAGCTTCTTCTATAGTCACCAACACATTGTTCTCCATTTTCGCGAGCAATAATCCTCAGCAAACATTGTACACACAATGCTCGCAATGCAAGCTTCTTTTGTGAATTACGAAATATCACATTATAACTGATAGCCGTAGGCTAAGACTTATAATTATTAGAAAAGGCTAGATGGACCGAACTCGAAGGAGCAATGGTAGCTGTCAAAAGCAAATCAGACAAGTGCTTTACAATGACCCTATCATCACCAGCGTTTTACGCATGCTCGAGCGTCACATCATTAGGTTTCATCCTCATCGTCCTCATCCTCATCCTCGACGAAGCTCGGCTGGTTTTGTAGCGAGCAACCAGCAAAGTCATGGCGTAACACTTACTTATAACGGAAGTCGGCTCATGATGGAATCAGTATTGGTATAAAGATTCATACTAGTTAGTCATGTGTGATGAAACAGCAACATCGTCAATCTGCTCGAAACACGCCAGATTATGTCCCTTTCACGTCCATATCTTTTTTACAACTATCTTTCTCTTGTTTATATCGTTAGAATAACCTTTACAAGATTATTTGTCAAAAGAACTGGGTTTGGGCAGTCAATTACGCGGTGTAAAGTTGTGTAAGGCGTTCGTGACTCGTTACGTCCGAGGGCTAAAAACCCGCCCGTGAGAGAAGTCCCCAGTTTCTGAACAGTGCTATGCAAATTCAAAAAATTATAATGTATTTGGAGCGTTTGGACGAAGTTGTCAAACCTAAGCAAAAAGGAAAATTCGAATACAGCTGTGTAGAGCCGATTCAGAAATTCGGAACTAAAATGTGTGGTGTGGTTCTCTTGGTAAAAGTGGCGGGAAAATTCAGGTTTACGGTACTCTCCCAAAATGCGGTTTTTTGTGTTCAAATCGCTAAATAAAGGTCAGAAACGGACTCAGCGACAAAAATTAGGTGGCGGAAGGCACTTTTTTAGTGGAGAAAACCTCATTTTAGTTTTGAGATCGGGTACCGTAAAGTAGTATACGGGGGTGACTACTTTACGGTACTCGCCCAAAATTTTAGTTTTTATGCACGAAAAGAAGCAGTATGGGCTGAAACGCATTAAGCCGCAAAAATAATTTGGCGGAAAGGCCTAAAATGAGTGATTTGAGACTTCGAAGTTTGAGGCTTATGACATGTCGCGCAAGGTGGGCCGTCGCTTCGGATGGGCTGCCGCTCCACTCTTTCGAAATCAGGGCGCCTGGGCGCTTCGCGCTCCTCGGGCGCCCCGATTTCGAAACCCTGTACGAGCTCGCACCCATCCGAAGCGACTAGGCCCCGGATGGCACGAAGCCTTATTTTTAGGCTTAAACTGGGTGTGATTGAGAGATGGAATCTGTGTCCGAATCTTCCCTTTATAGGCCTTTCCGCCCACTTATTTTTGCTGATTAATACGTTTCAGACCTTGGTGCTTCTATTCGTGCAGAAAAAGGCAAATTTTGGGCGAGTACCGTAAAGTAGTCACCCCCGTATACTACTTTACGGTACCCGATCTCAAAACTAAAATGAGGTTTTCTCCACTAAAAAGTGCCTTCCGCCACCTAATTTTTGTCGCTGAGTCCGTTTCTGACCTTTATTTAGCGATTTGAACACAAAAAACCGCATTTTCGGAGAGTACCGTAAACTTGAATCAAGCCAAAGTGGCATGATTAAGACGTAGAACCTGCAAAATAACTGGTTTTGGATTCTAAATCATTATTGCCATTGTAAACACTTGAAATAAACAGGCTTTATGTGGTAAGATATCAATATCAATGATCTAGGCCACAGTTTGCCATCTATGCACCTGAAAATCGCCCGAAACCCGAATAATTGACAGTTAAAAACAATTTAGAAACGCATCCGCTATTTATAAAAAAAAAATTTTGGCTTATGCCGAAAAAATTTGGTATCTATAAGATAAGGTAAGATATCTAAATCGTTGAAATCGGTCACGTCTGCGGACCGCCAGGCATAGTTTTTTTTGGGGGACCCTGGATGATGGATGATGAGCCCTGAATTTCCCAAATTGTGCGCCCATTTCGCCTGGCCACCAATTCCCAAGCATGGGCCAATCTGTCTCGGGTCCATCTGCTCGGGGGACCGCCGTGCCACCATGTACGAGTCTCGACATCTGGTTTGTTGCGATACACCCATCTACTACCAATCCCGGCCATGCCTTATGACGGATGGTGGTAATTCTTTCAGATTCCTGCAGGCGACCGGGCACATGTGGCAAATAGGGCGGAGCAATTGCGCCGTCGGCATTCCCAATTGTGCATCACCTCGCCGCTTGCTAGACGCTAGGCAAGCGCTAGCCTCCCCCCCCCCCATCGGTCCGCAACCTTTGGATCAAATTTTCATGCTCCTGGATGTTCCTCAAAACTACAGGGTGTCCCAATAAGAAAAAAACACCTCCTCTAATTCTACGCATCAGTATCGGATGGGAATGATAGTTACACCATTTGAAAAGCCTTGAAGCGGCGAGTTTGCAAAAATCGTCAAAACTATATTCTCATTGAAACGCGATATTTTACAACGCATTCAGAAACATTAATGAACGGGCCTTGCTTCCATTTGACGGCTGCTTCCCGGTCATTTTGCTTGGAGAAATTAAGACAATTTAGCTCAGATCCACCCCCAAGAAGCAGTAAAATGCTACAAAATGGCTTGTAAAATAGGGCATTTAAATAAAAACATGGTTTGGACCGTTTTTGCGAATTCGTCGTTTCAAGGGCATTCGATTGGTTTAACTACAAGTACGCTACGATACTCCTGCATTGGGTTAGAGGTTTTTTTTGATTGGGACACCCTTTATTAACTGCGTTAAATTAGAAATCCGTGGAGAATGTTCCCGTCCTGCTCGTCGTGGCTGACGTGATCGGGTGCGTGACGGTGCCACTGGCCAGCCATGCTTCTGATAGGCATGGTTTGGCGCGATGGTGCCCTCAGCGCCGGCCATCCAGCGATTCTTCTAAGCCTCCGTGAGTCTTCTTCGGCCATTAATTCAAGCGTGCCATTTGATTTTTTTCCCCATTTCCACGCTGCCTTTCGCCGGCCAAAAGTGGGATTTAAAGGGATCAGGAAGGCCCAGGAAAAATAGGATAAAACATTTAGTTCTAAAATTAACATAAAGCTTCTCTGTTCCCTCCTGCCTCGTCCCATTCTCTGCCCATTTTTCTGCATTGGCATTTCCGGTTGGCTCGCTGCCAATTATAGATGACCTGATCTACGGTGCCTTCGTGATCCCTTTAAAAGTCACGCTCATGCTTTTGTAGATTCTAGAAGATTTGCGTCTGTAAAGGGTCCTAATTATCACGATTCTGAGGGTAGAAGAAGTACAGTTTGACCACGCCCAGGAAGTATTTTGCTGAAGAAAAATTCAATGTTTGGCCCAACCTGTTTTCGAAATATGCCAAACGAACGAATTCAATAAATTGCTTACAATTACAATAACATTTGGCTGCACATAGTTTTTATGGGTCTGCATCGCCGGTAAAAATCGATCGGATAGAAGACGGCCAACTGGGGGTTTTTTTGAGGCCACTGTGTATGAAATTGGTTTCTATTCTGGCAAAAATCATGCAAGTACTCTGTTTAGAGTGGCGCTGATTAGCGGGATCCCCCTGCTCTACACGGCCATCGTAATACGAGCAGACTGGACCGAACTGCCGTCCGTTCTCTATAAGCAATTAATCGCTTTGGGAATCGGGCTCAACGCGGTCGTCACGACTTGGAGCAACGCGTGGTTACTCAAAAAGGTATGCCCCTTTTACTTTCGTGCTTTTCGATCAAAAAACACGTTTTTTTTTGCCAAAAACCAAATTTAACTGGTTTAAGCGATATACCAGCTGTGTTTTCGCCAACGCTTTTTTCAAAAGTAGTCGTTCGTCTGCCAGGAGAGGCCTAAATATTGCAACTGTTGTAAAAACCCCCTTGATCAAATAAACATCAAAAAATCCCCCTCGTGTCTCAAAAAATATTACTAAATATCCGTTAGAACAATTTTAAAAATATGCGGATTTGATAGATAGACCCCTAAATCGTAAAAATCGGACAAGTCGTCGGCCGCCTAAGGGGGAGATTTTTGGGATACCGAGGTACTCTAGGCCAGTAAGCCATACGAAAAAGCGTTTTTGCAAGCCTCGAAGGCTAATTGCCGTCCAATTTCAGTACCGCGACATGCTCGTGGCAAGATTCCACCTGAAACCAACCGCTGAAGTCGACCATCCCCTCGTCGAACGGCCACGCCAACAAGAATAATGGGTTTTCGTTCAAACAATTCCATTCGCTGTTTCCTGCGACTGTATTCCTTTTTTTTTTTGAAAATATTGGTACATTGCATTCGAATAATCTTTGTTGTTTTGGCAAGCATCGTTCTGTTCATCAAGCATCTAATGCATCTAATCCTCGCCATTTTCGCCCACGTCTCTCATTTATTTGTGTAATCACATCCGGGTCAACTATTTTTTTTTGCCGTTTTGTGTGCCTTATCTGCTCGATGCCACCTAACCAACCAATAAATTTGAGTTTTTGAGCTCAAATAACCAGAAATTTGGCTTAAGGGAAGTCAAAGAAAGGATGCAAAATTTCTTAGACTACTTTATCAAAATCGTCAATTTTCTTTGTCTCCTGCTGCTGCATCAACGAATATTGCGTGGAAACCCATGGGGATCCGTGGAACGGGGAGAACGTACCTGAAAATGGTTCCTTTTTTACGGCAACTCGGAATTTTGAATATTTTGTCTTTTATTAGGGCAGCTAAACCGCACCGACAAATCTCGCGGAGGCTTTTGGCGTCGAGAATCATGAAAATTGGCTTTTTCCGCCGGTTCGCGCTCATCACCGGCACGAGGATGATCCCTAAAAGTCTTGAAATAGGATGGTATGTAATGGTACCGTCATCTTCGGCCGTTCCGTTCGGACTTGGCACGAAAACAGGCTCTCCGAAAAGTTGCTCCGCGTCGTCTTTGTAGTGGATCGACGTCTCACCGGTGTTGACATCGTTTTTGACCACCTTAAAATGTGGGCATCAAAATTGTCCATTCAGTATATACCAGTTGCACAGGATGTCCCGAAAATAATGGACTCCCACTAACGGTCCGGAGAAAGCTCGGGTCGGGATGGATTTTACACCATTCGAAAGCCCTTGAAACGGCGAGAAAACAAACGCTTTCGTTTGACAAAATTTTTTAGCCTGCGAGATATTAAACCATTTTTTAAAAAGGCCTAAAATCAGCATCGTCTTAAAATGCCAATTTTAAAACGGGAAATGTTTTTCGTCTTGTCCCCAGCTTTCGATAGATACCTAAACCGTCATATCCGTGACTTTTGCGGACCGCTAAAGCGGAGAATTTCTTTTGGGACACCCTGTATATTCATTCGTAGAACCACAATTAAAAGACACTAAAGAGGGGATCTTACCCCGGGAACCCGACGTTCCGCCGCGGCGTAGAGTATCGTTGTCCCATACACGAATCGATAGGGAAGCCCGGTGAAACGTTCGTTATAGCGTGGCAGTTCAAAGGCTGACAGGAATTTTATTTCATATTTTATTTATTTTATTTGGAGGCATATTTAGAAAAGCCGATGGTTCAATCAAAAATGACACTTTTTGACACTCAGAAAATACCCTTTGGAAAATGAGCGGAAGATACTCACAGTGCTGGCAAATTTTGGCTGGGATGCAAAAGACCGAGCCGTCAGCCTGTAGAATTGCCCGGGCACCTCGTGATGAAGCGGCCGTCTGGAAGTGTTTACGGGATTTTATGAGCAGATTTAATTGTCAATACATTGGAAATAGTTCTGTCGAAAGCTAGGGTCTTAAACGTTGATACTTATAGGGTGAATAATGTTAACACAAGCTAGAACGTATATCGTATACCATAGTGATGTTATAAATTTTCAAACAGCGTTTCTTCGAATAGAAATTGACCTCCGCCAGGTCGATGCCAGCCTCAATATCGCCGGAAACATCGGTAGGAATGACGATTCGATGTAGAAAAGGGCGGAACAACGGGTTCTAACATTTTAATGATATTGATTTTTGGTGGAGATCTACCCTAGACGAAAATGACCCATCTCGCATGTGTTGTAGCAGCAAGTCCTCGAAATTCCCCGGATTCTCCACGAGACAAAAATCGACGTCTGAAAAATTATGACACGCGTAAAAATTCGTAAAATTTGAATTTACACAAAAATCTGTCGCGCTCAAAGGCATTGGCATGGTGAAAGGTGAAGAAAGGCGGTGCGAAGAACTGAAATTCGAGGTTAAAGGTATCGGCAATTCAAATTAAGGTACTTCAGATACTCCGCCAAACCTCAGCTACCGTATCTCGGCTTCCCGTCGTGGAACAGACGGGTAAAGTATACCAAGATACTCGCCAGGCCAAGACGAACATTTTGGTATACTTCACAGCCCTGTACGACAGGAAGCGGCTGAGATAGGAGATGAGGGCGAGCTGAGGTGTCTACTGTCTTACAGCAAGTCAAAAATCCAAGTTAAAAGATTCAGAGGGTACCTTGCGCGGATGCCGCTTTCTAGTCCTTTTGTCCACAAGAATAATGTTAACGTATTGTCCCTCGATCCAAAATAAGGCATCGCGAAAGCAGGTCGGCTCCGCGCTAAAAAGTGGCCACTTAAAAGTGGTCATTAAAAATTTTGCTTAATCTAAGCGATGTGTGCTGCCTGTTCAAGCCTGTTAGTTCGTTAAAACCGGCATAGGTTACCTAGTTTCAAGCTTTCTCATGTCGATCCGAAGTGGCGTCTCGAAAAGTATCAAATAATTTTCGGTTATGCCGGAATGAATGGCAGTAGGATGGGTATCGCGGGTCCGTGTAAGGTACGCGCGATCGTATACTCGCTTTATCGAGGGGTCGGTCTGTGGCACCTGAAATATCCAGCCGATTTTGTCCGTCGCTCTCTCTCTCTCTCTCTCTCTCTCTCTCTCTCTCTCCCATCTCTCTCTCCATCTCTCTTTCTCTTTCTCTCTCCTCTCTCTCTAGCTCTCCATCTCCTCTCTCTCTCTCTCTCTCTCTCTCTCTCTCTCTCTCTCCTCCTCCCCCCCCTCCCCCCTTACCGGCAAGCTGGATAAAAATATATTCATTTTTTCGGAGATAAATATATCATTAATGAATATAAAAATATATTCATTTCATTTTTTTTAATCAGAAACCCCAAGCAATTCTCAAACCTGCAAGAAATTGACCAAACAATTGCTTGGGCACCGCTGTCAGGCTTAGCTGTCATCTAAAGTACATGTTTTGACGAAACAGTGTACAGCATACATTTGTTTGAGCGCTTCGCGGGGTTGCAAATGTCGACACGGCGAGACGCTCGTCTTCCTCACAAGCCAGATACGCGTGGGATTTCAGGAATTTCGCGGAGTAATGCATCTGCAACGGATTTGGTATTAGAATTTCGAAATTGATAATGTTGTCCAAATTCCATGATATCGAAATCCAAAATATAATACTTTTACGTTCTAGTAAGCAGACTTCTACGTTCTCGTAAACCTACTCGGCCATTTTTGAAGTGATATCGCTGTGGATAGGCCATACCGTCGAACCAGTGATTTACCTCATCATTACCTAAAAATAAAAGGCTGTCGAAATACCCTCTGGTCGACAAACCAAATTTAAACTTGCCCGGGCCATTTCGGAGGAAATTTCCAGATAACCAGGTCGGCGTTTTTTTTTGATAACCAATTATGTGAGTGCTTTTTGTATGTTTTAATCAATAGTTTGAATTTCCAGACTTTTTTAACCTTGCTTTGATTTGTTCTTCCTTTATCCTAGGTCTCGCAACAAATCAGAGATGATAAGATTGCTTGCAAAAATGCCTACCAATTCGCACCCCCTCCGCCGGGTCGGATACGTCGGAAAAGTTCTCGAACAAGTGATTGATGCGCATTGGAACGACCTAAAAATGCCCATACTAGGTACAGTATGCCCGGCCCGGTATCGTTGAAGAAGGGGAAAATGTGAGACAACTTTATTTAATCCGAATCGACGCGTCGGTTTGCAAATGAATCCGCTTCGACTGTGCCTGCGTGAATTTGGCTTCACACATGACTTTTTCTGACATTACAACAAGAACCGCGGGACTTTTTGGACATGGACAGGCGTCGATGATTCGATGAACAGATCCCAAATCTTGCTGAACTACTAGAGTATAGAAGAAGTTTAGCTCTCAAAGGGCTTTTAGTTCCTTAATTGCGCTCAAAGACTGTTTCCGTTCAGCAGCTTTTTTGACGGTGAGACTTGGTAATATTTTCAAGCTTTATCGAATGAGAGGCTTCTCGCATCTCAGACGCACCACAAAATTCGAAAAGATAGGTTAAAAAGATAGGACACGATAGGTCTTGCGCCCTGGACTAGCTCCGAGGTAGTACGGTGTAGCAGGGCACAACGTCCAACTTGAGACTTGCGCCTAGACTTATTTTCGAAAATTTGTAAATCGATGTTCATTTAGGTAAAATTAAATATATCAAATTCTAGGGTAGAAGCCATCGGTTCCTAACGTGATATCACCGGCACGACGTGATACTGTGGTATTCAGCGCTTCAAGGCACACCCCCGCGGCATATGGTATGGGCGTGGCCTCGCTTTGCTAGTCTCGTAGCATCGTAGTTTCGCTCTTGAAGTCTTTTCAACCAAGCATCATTGCAGGATGGTGCCACCGATCATCCATCAAGATACCCTAGGAAATACCTAAAATTTTTCACTTTTTGGTGCTATACCAATCCGATCAAAGCCCGCATGGAAACGACACCGACTTTGAGCAGTTATCCAGTAGTTAACCTTGGAAGATTCTCTGTTGTAACTTTCACCATACAGCTTGTATTTCAGCGGCGTTGGATCCACAAAGTATTTATTCACCCAGAGCTTTGCCCCGCAATAAATTTTAAAAGAGATATTGCAGCACTTGCCGGGCCTGTCCCGTCAACATTGTGGCCAGCATTCTCAACTTTCGGTACTTATCGTTAACGCGTCGTCTACCCTAACCGTAGCAAAACTACTATCCACCATTCTGCAGCGGTTTGCCCGCGACTCGATTTTCCAGGTAGTATGGTTGGTGGTCGGGAGCTTGTCTACAACATAAAAAATCAGGGAATGTTTACGTTGATCGGGGATCTATGTAGTTGTATCCCCTACCTGGGGGTCCGCCTTGTCAGAAATAATTTAGGTTGAACTTTTTATAGCTGTTTTCATGGACGTCTAAACGGCAGCGAATACGCCTTTGCCCAGTCCGTTGTCGGCCTTCATTTCAGGACTCTCCGTAGGCCTACCGGGGTGGAAAACATACGAAAATATTCCTCAGATCAAGGCGAAGATTTTCAAATACTTTATCGCTTATAGGGCAACTCCAGTCGGCACTTGCTACCGATAAATGAAGGAGCTCTGAGCGGGAAAAATACCAAGAGATAAGCCCCAAAGCCTACAACATTTATCTGCTTTCTAGATTCAAAAAAGTTCCTTATCCACGTTTGTAGAGCGGGTTACGATGATTCAAACGACGCTAAGGACCAAAAGAGAAAATTTTTTAATCTAAAATTTGGTGCGCAAGTTGGCCAAAGCCTTATTTGATAAGCGTATACAGGAGCTTCACGTATTTTCGATAGCCTTCCATTTTTTCCGTTGCTGCCCATACTACCCAGATTGAGGCGGCCCTGCCTACGGCACATTGCTGAGCAAGATACGATAGTTGGTTTCTTACCATTATGGGATCTATGGTAGCTCTATACACCAAATTATTGCACCGGTTCGAGGTGGGACAACCGACCCAATGCATCGCCTCAAAGACTTGTGAGGTAAACCGAAGGCTGAGATCGGGTTACATATCGCATCCATCACTCCGTAAGTAGAGCATCACCTGATTTGCAATTCCTCTCAGTGGCGTCAAATACCTTTACTCCCGCTTCTAATGCTCGCTTCACATGTGGCAGTACCGTAGGGTATTGCTTCGTATAGTTTAGTTGTTGTGCATTTCTGTAACAGAGAAATATCCTTTCCAAATGCAACCCCTTATCATCCCTCTCAAATGTCACGTTAGAGCCGCCGCAACTGCACTTTTTCAGACAGAGCACTGGCAGAAATGCTGCTTTTTTGGTGTTCAGGGTCAGGCCATCATTTCTCACGCGCGGCGCCATTTTCCGAGATATCTCCGAAAATGTGTCAAAATGTGACCTTGACGGTAATGTGGGATCTATGATGAGAGCTGAACTGCAACACGACTCACCTGCAAACCTTCCAATCCTGCACAGAGGGTGGGATACCGAGATTTCGTCGTCGTGCCGGGTCGTTCAAGTACTTGGCGATAGCCCATGTGTTGTCACAATCTGTCGGAATGTCACCAGACCAATCTGGTTTGCATTCGTGGTGAAGCCCGTATGGGTCGATGCCCGAACCACTGGAAACTGGGTTAGAAGGAAGTATTGGGTAGGGAAAATAAGTATTACACAGTATTACAAGTATTGCACAAAGAGCAGGGCCTTAAAGGGGCCCAGAAGTCCAAATTCGTGTGCTCGGCCATCGAACCTATGACCCAAGAAACACAAAAAAAAACAAAAAAAAGGAATTTTTCGTTAAAGGGCACGTTCAGGGACGTTTTTTTGAAAAAAAGCAAAGATTTTTGCCGCGGCCGGGGGTCGAACCCGGACCCCCCGCTCGGGAGGCGCGGATGGATACCAGTCAGCCCCAGCTACAACCTGGCGAGAGGGTGAGGGGCCCCCACGCCGCAAAGGAGGGGAATTGCCTGCCACGGCACGGGCAGTCAGTGCGCGCGGTCCCTACGTCCATGGGGTGTACACGTTGGGACGAGTACACGGCCCCTCCCTGAACGTGCGCTTTAAATATCAGTAACATCGCCTTTTTATACGGGCGGGCTTTACATGTCGCAATGCCAATCGCTTATAGCGATTTCGCTGATGCCTGGGTCGATTTTTAACGCCGAAAACAGCTAGAATGATCAAAATCGCTTGATGATGCTAGAAATCACATCAGAACTTTGAAATCCAAT